GAGATAAGACCAAATTAATTAGTGCAAACTGCAGTTTCTTCTCGGGTAATCAATTAACTGACTGACTTCTTGTTTTTGCATTAGTCAACTGTGTTTGGTCAGATATTAATCATATATACTCGATCGAGTGCTGCGGTCGATCGAATGGAGCTTTTCACGACGTGCAGTCTCACTAATTCATGTGTCTGCTGTTATTAATTAACAGGAGTTCATGTCAAATTGGCACTTTAATTTTCCAAAGAACAGATAAACTGAAGTTAGTATGAAAACGAAAAAAAGAAAACTAATCTCGCTGGGCCTCCGTTTTGGACAGGTAGTGCACGTGTAGGCCTTTCTAAGCCCATGGATGTAATACTGACTGTTAGGGCCAAAGCCCAAAGGTTATCTTCCACACAAATCCACATTTGAAATTTAGGGCCTGTTCACTTTGATGCTATTTTCAACCTTACCAAATTTTAGTAAAGTTACCAAAAAAGTGGCTACATTTAGTTTGCTGCTAAATTTTGGTAACTTGCCAAAATTTTGGCAGGCTTTCTTATATAGTTACCAAAATTTGGTAAGGTTTTTTTTGGCATCAAAATGAACATGCCCTTACAATCCTTCCATACAATTGCTAATCACCTCATCGATCTCAATGCCCTAACAAAATGTTTCCACATAACTTTACACCGTGCGCAGGTAACTATGCTAAAATTTTGACAATGCCAAAATTTGGTAAGGTTTTTTTTTGGCATCAAAGTGAACAAGCCCTTACAATCCTTCCATACAACTGCTAATCACCTCATCGATCTCAATGCCCTAACAAAATGTTTCCACATAACTTTACACCGTGCGCAAGTGTGTTGCAAAGTCCTAAGCCATTGTTCGCTTTGGAGAGGATTGAAGATAATTGGAGGAGATTGAGGGGAAATAATTCTACATTACAATAGGTATAGAATAAATCCTCTACAATCAATTTATCATGAGGATTAGCGGAATAAGGTCTTAAATGAAACCATGCAAATACTGTATGTTCTGAAAAGAAATTAAGCAGGCTACACAGTTGCATACATCCATACCGTGGACATGCGTTAGGATTAGGTAATCCCCCATTATACACTATCAAACTACCACCAAAAGAATATACAGTATTCTCCAATAAGTCAAACGAACCTGGCCGGGATCATGGAACTAAATGTCCACATTCAATGAACCGCATGTCCCAACCGTTCAGCTTACCATTACTGTTGTGAATCCATCTCCTTCCATTAAGAAGGTACTATAATCATTTCCTTTTCTTTTTAGATTTTATTGAACAATACAGTCTTAATTAATACTGTAGTGCCATTTGTTGATCTTATGTACGTAATATAGATTGTTATATTTATGGCTAATTATTTTTCGGTGGTAGTTGATGTATACGTGTCCGTCGATAACGAGGCGTTCGTAATGACTTCATCAATCTTAATTAGGATATTCTAGTCTAGTCGTGTGTGCTCATATGGACGAATATGCGTGAGTTGTGAGCATCTGCGTTCGTAATGTACTGATTTTTAAAGAGAAACCATTAAACGGATCCTTGAATTAAAAAAAAAAATCAACATTGAGCTAGTTTGCCATGAGGGAGTAAGTTAGGGTATTTGGAAATTGAGGTTAATTAGGAAATGTTTTCGGACGTTTTTTAGTCTAAGTTCCATTGGTAAGGGAATACAGTGAAACCATATTCTCCCTGGCTTATAGATGATTATACTAATTAATGTATGGTCCTCTAAAAAAAATAATGTATGGCCAAAGGTTCAACAATTTAACTAATCACTAGCCACTTGTAATAATCATATCTAGGAACACTTGTATCTAGTTCCGGCTGATACGCACGTTCAACTATAAATAGTAGAGTAATTGTAGTTCATTTCATGCATATTAATATTTTGTTGGCCCAGTCCTGGAGTAGTTAAGGTTCAAAACGGATATTCTTAAGAACAAATTCGTTGTGTTTACTCAAGATGGTTAATTTTCTTATTTTTGACCAGATGCTGAAGTGTCAGTTTATATTCAAAGATGAGGTCAAAGCTATTACATTAGTTTATTAGATATGATTGATTAATTGGTTGTCTACATAAGACTAAGATCTAATCATATAGTACTACATGTGTGCAAATGTCGCCCAATATTAATTTTGGTAACTAATAGATCAATTAATCAAGTTGACATGTCATCTCTCTCAAGTCGTTTTCCATAATCTCTGTGCAAGGATTGGGTAGGTAAAGTGTTCATTGGCTTGATTCCCATTCCATTTCGCCGATTCACATCCTAGATGTGACCCTTGCTAGCAGGTGACAACTATTTTGACTTGATAATAATATGTATCTGCCTAAGCTAGCTAATCAGAACCAGAAATTCGCTGCCTTGTGAAAATGATGTGTGAAAGCTTGTCTAACTAGCTAATCGGTAGTCAGTGTTACGGTGTGTGCATGCGTAATTAAGGCACAAGGCACGTTGTTATTGCGCAAACCGGATATTCTGTTAGAAAAAAACATAACAATTATGTACTCCTTCCGTTCATAAAAGACCATTGTTTTAGGTTAAAAAATTGTCCAACAAATTAAAATCACGCACCCCACTCTACCGCTATATGAGGTGATTCCATGTGTAACGATGTTTTCCGTTGTTTGTGCAATACTTTCTTTAGGTTGCTGGTTTGAGCAAAAGCTGATCACCAAAGAGTTTCAACTGGTGTTATGCTGTATTTATCACAAGTTTAATTATAGTCCCATCGTTTCGCTTATGCTATATATTTATCTGTACGACTTATCAGCAACCATGCAAAAATAATTTATTCATAAAACATTTTCGCTAGGTTTCGAAACTAGGTTTCAAAATTTAAATTAATTTTCGCTTGAAGGCATAAACATAAGCGAGACGATGGAGCTATTAGTGACTCTACGTTTGATCAGTGGACAAAAAGATAATATTTATCTCATTCTCACGCGTAAGCTTCCTGAACTGTAGGGTGTTTTTTTTTTGAAAAAAATATATACAAAAGTTATTTTTAGAAAATCATATGAATCTATTTTTAATTAATCATATGCTAATGACTCACCTCATTTTACGTATCTTCTTAATCTTCCCTTTTCTCCTTATCTCAAGCCCTCACACGTATATATCACGGTTATATGCCAACTAATTTAAATTGTGCCATTACCTTCGTATTATGATAGATGTGAACTAAGAACAAACCCTATCTAATCTTAATTATAACACGCTACAACATGACGTAAATTCGATGGTAGTACTAGTTTTTAGAGTAATCTTAAGAAAAGTACCGAGACAAATGTAGTGCAGAAGAGACATTGATTAATTAAGAAATGAATTAAGTTTCTCTGAACTTACGCAACAAACCCAGACATCAAATGTAATTCAAACACATGTGTACACCTTACTAACCTAATGTGATACGATAGCCATGATTAATTAATAATTAAGCAATGCAAGTAAATATCGTATGGTTTATAAAACTAGTTATTTTTCATTCATGGCTATGAATTAAACTACAGACCAGAGCATACTTATACGGCAGAATAACAAGCTAGCTATATTAATTTTTGCACTTTCACAATCAACAAACATGTGCAAGATGCAGTTCAATCATTCAACTCGGATATAAATTACTGACTCTGCTCATTCGAGCTAAAATATAAAAGGAAGAGAACTATGGATATCCGCAGGAATATCTTCATTTGATGCGACCAAATGCAGAGGAAAATGCTGCTTTCTTAATCGAGATCTTGTGTACTTCGGGAGCAGTTACAGCCTAAACTAAATTTTAAATGGACAGCTAAAATGCAGGTACCTGCTCTTTGCTTAATCAATCATGATGCAATGTCATTGTATTAAAACAGTTCCCTAAACATCTGCATAGGTCGTGAAGAAAAGGGCAGAAATTCCATAGCCACAGGAAAAAAAAAGTGTACAATTACACATGAATTTTATTTATCTTAAACTACTTAGCTCCTAGCCACAGAAAATGGTGTACAATTACAGATGCTGTCAGCATACGCAATGTCTTGCTTATATATTTAGACATGTTTTAACACTGACGTAACTATATTAACATATATAGCAGATGAGACAAAAATGGTGTGTGGGCCTACTAGAAGTGATCGTTTGTGATACAGATCAGGGCTCTGTATTTGTGCCAACTAATCGACAACCTAATTGTACGTAAAAGGCATTAAGAAATGGTATTGGTAGATCAATGTTATTAGTGTTGAGCTGTTGATCCAATCAGATTAACCGACTTAAAATCGGCAAAAATTAATGGCGTTCGTTCTACTCATTAAACGGCTCCTGGAGTATTTGAGGTTTTCTTCTGAAATCTCTATCCACGATGAGGTGCTGTTCAGATGCCACCACATATATAATGAGACAGTGGTAGATCCATACGAGTTAATTCTGAATATCTAACTGAAATTTTGAGCTAGTACATTAGAATCTGAATTAGGTGAACAATCTGAAAAAAAAACAAGATTTTTTTAGAGGCTCTTTCTATGATGAATTTGTGTGTGTGTGTGTAAACATCCAAAAAGTATGAATTAATACAGCATATTGTCATCTCTGAATTCAGTCCCTACTGTTGTCGACCTGATCAGGATTCGGAGGATATTCGGAGGTGGTTGACAGTAGAGAGATTGCCTGGGCCTTCTTTTCAATAAATAAATGGGCCTGTATTTGGCCCATGGCTAACAGATTCTGTACGGCTCAAACCGTCAGATTGCAATTCTTTTTTCAGTACAAGTTTGGTGTAAATCGATGAAGGGAGGAGTATCATCAGGTTGCATGTCCCCTTGTATGAAACCATTAGGTGTAAATGAATTTTTCTTGTACATAAACTTTGTATGAAAATTAATATATCGTAGAAGAATCCCCTATTGTTTCACGGTAAAAAAAATATATATACCAGGTTGCATGTCCTGTTTTTTTTCTTTTCCAGTGTCTAAAATACTTCAGGGCTAAATGTTCGATTAGGGAACAAAAAATCGTATGTATTCACTTGATATTTCACATTTGATACATAAAAATCAAGTTGTACATGTATTGAATCAACCCCTAGAGAAACAACTAACACAACTCATGAACGTTCATGCGTTCGTTTTGTGTACAGCTTAATTGCAACCCTTTGAATATGTTGTAATTTGATACAAACAAATGAACTTGTGTTTTAGTTTATATATATATATATATATATATGCAGATTTGAATATTGTTGCCGACGTGGCTGCCTAGCTGGAGTATGCCAGGTGGATCTTTATCGCTGACGTGGCGAAGCCGTTGAAGTTGGAGCCAGCCGCGGTGGTGTAGGCGCCCATGTCGTCGAACACGAGCCAGTCGCCGACGCTCATCTCCGGCAGCTGGTAGCCGGTGACCACCGTGTCGAGGGAGTCGCACGTCGGGCCGAACACCGTCGAGGCGTGCGTCGTCGCCGCCGTCGTGTCCTCGCCGGCGGCGGCGGCGGCGAGCGGCCTCGGGCGCGGCACGTAGTGGTCCATGAGGATGCAGTTGAGGGAGCCGTAGAGGCCGTCGTCGATCCAGTACTCCCGGAGCTCGCCGCGGGTGCGCTTCCCGATGACGCGCGCGGCGAGGGTGAACGCCGTCTCGGCGAAGTACCGCCCGGGCTCGCCGATCACCTCGACGCAGGGGAGGTCGCCGAAGTGGCGCTCCAGCGCGCGGTTGATGACCGCCGCCGCCTCGTCGAAGGTCCGGCCGGCCATGAAGCCGCCGCCGATGTCGAGGACGCGCATCGGCGGCATGCCGAGCGCCGCCGCGGCGTCGAACGCCTCGCGCGCCGCCTCGATGGCGCCGCGGTAGACGTCGGCGCGGGACGCGCCGCTCCCGACGTGGAAGGAGACGCCGGCGACGGCGACGCCCTCGCGCTGCGCGGCGCGGAGGAGCGGTAGCACCTCGTCCGGGTTGGCGCCGTACTTGAGCCCCAGGTCGACCTTGGCGTCGCCGGAGTCGGGCGCCTTGATGCGGAGCAGCAGCTCGCAGCGCGGGTGGCATCGCCGGACCTTGGCCACCTCCTCCTCGGAGTCGTAGGTGGTGAGGTTGACGCCGACCTCGGCGGCGTACTCGAGGTGCGCCTCGGGCTTGCACGGGTTGGCGTAGACGATGGTGGCGGGGCGGACGCCGAGCGCGAGCACTGCCTCGATCTCGGCGCGGCTGGCGCAGTCGAAGCCGGCGCCGAGCGCGGCGAGCGCGGCGAGCATGGCGCCGTCGGGGTTGCACTTGACGGCGTAGCAGGGGCGCACGTCGGGGAGCGCGCGGCGCCACCCGCGGTGGAGGTCGACGACCTTGGCGAGGTCGAAGACGTGGAACGCGCTCCGGGCGCCGCCGGCGACGATGTCGCGGATGAGCGCCGTGACGCCGGCGTCGGCGTCCTTGCCCTTGCCGCGCTTGAAGGCGAGCACCTTCTTGTCCTTGACGCCGGGGGCCATGAGCACGGCCTGCATGGGGCTTCCTCCAACCATGGTACTTACGTGATAGGTTACTGTAAAACAAACATTGCACATTAATTTTCACAGAGAGTTAGTTAATTACCATGTCAGTTAAAAGTTAAGGAACATAGTACGCGACGGTTAATGTTGCTAGCTAGTTAGATAAATAACTGTTCATGCGTGCTCGATCGGTAAATACAATGCACACGCATGATGATTAGTTAATTACAATTAATTAGCTAGGTGGTAAGTTCGTTGTGCATATACAACCTCCGTCTTAAAATATAAGAGATTTCGGACGAATGGAACACTTACTAGTACAATGAATCTGGATAGTAAGTCTGTCCAGATTCGTTGTATTAGAAAATGTCTCATCCGTCTAAAATCTTTTATATTTTAGGGCATGGGAAGGGAGTATATTATTATGTGGCGACTTACCAAGAGTTAATTGCAACGGGCGGGCAGCTGCCGGGAGGAAATGCGAGTGGTTTTGCACGTTGCTAGTGTGTTTGGGTGTGTGCGGCTTGGTTGGCGAGGAGGCAAGAGCATTATATAGCGTGGGATGGAGATGGAGTAGGTTGGGTGCGTGGGATGGTGGTCAAATGGGCCTCGATCGTATTCGTTGGAGGAGGAGGAAGGAAGGAAGGAGGCCTCGCCTGCAACGGCGCGGTTGGTAGCTAGCATGCAGGTCGGTACGGTAGTAAGCTAGGTCAATGGTATACGGGCAGCGAAAGCACGAAATGCTATTTGTGCTGGGTCGCTACCTGGTGTAACCCGCGCGCGCAGCAAACAGACCATATATAAAAATCACTTCATTCGTACTAAAATGTAAGTATTTTTAAGATTAACACGGGTATTAACAAAATAGGTGAGAATGATTAGATAAAAATATAAAATGTGTGAATGATTGAGAAGATAAAGTAGATGAAAGAGAATGTTTGTGATTGGTTGAGAGGATCCGATAGGTGGAGAAATATAACTTTATTTTGGAACAATGTACTATGCTAGAAATAACTATATTTTAGAACGGAGGTAGAACCGCGTCATCCACGGTAACACTAACAAATATAACATTTATAATATACAACTTTTTTAAGTTTATAATGGTTATATTCAATTAATCATTCAATAACATCTCATCTCATTTTTCCGTATCACTAAATAGCTACACTCAACTGAGCCTACCACAAAACAACCACCCTTATTTCATTTTTGACAATGGTTTATATTAAACCGGCCCTCTACAACCAAATTGAGCAGCTAGCCTTATAGTAGTCATTCACCTCAATGCAAATCAAATGTGACAATCAATTTTTTTTTTAAAAAAATCGAATGTAACAACCCATATAGTCTACTCATATAATTTTGTTGCACTACTTGCTCGATCGGTAGGTGGTTTTCCACTCGACTGCAGTACGTACGGAGGCGCGCGTGCGCAGTGCGCCACGATCAACGACTGACCAATCGACTAGCTAGCTCGCTGAACAACATTACTTGCGCATGTAACTTGTGCCCTTAAATTTGGTTGATTAGATTTTTGGGATTAATTTGTTCTTGTTCATTCCAGGACATTTCGTCCTCGATCGCCCATTCTTTGTACGTAGGTAGAGAGTCCTACTTTATTTTTAATTTTTTTTTAACACAAGACTTTCCTGGTCCTTTGGATGCACGCAAGCGCCGGCAAGAGGGGTGGTTGGTGGTTTGATCGATCGAGCCCGGTCAGCCGATCGAAACAAAAAGGACACAAACACATAGGAGTATATATTTCTTTGAACTGAGAAAAAAAACACTTATATCCAATGAGATTTCTTTGTTTACCGCTTTTCTTGGATGGATGGGTGGGCTGAGTCACAGTGTTTCTCGGGCCAGACCGGGCCGGGCCTGGTTGGGCCGTCATGGGCCTATTGTGTGAGCCCAGGCCCAGCCCTAGCCCATCTGGTGCCTCATCGAATTGGGGTTACGTGGTACATAATTACACATACATACACCTTCGTTATGTTAGAACTATTTTTAAGCCAAACGACACCTGAGGGACATTATATATTTGCTTTGCAAATGAGGGTATCACACGCACAAGGGGGTTCGGAATTTTAATCTCTGAACCCTTATTCCTCAATGGTCTGTATTTATTTATCTTTTTGTTTTTGTTTTTCTCTTTTCAAAGCACGGAAGTTCGGAGCTCTCTCTCTTTTTTTTTACCTTAAATTACTCGAAATTATCAGGCTCGATTTGTAAGTTAGCAACTTAGCATATATTCATCAGATTCATCTATTCCTACCACTCAGGTTCTATATTTTTTTTTGTTGAAGTTGAATATTTAAAACTTTGACCACCAATAACCTTTAAAAGTATTTAAATTTAAAAATATTTAGTTTAAATACATTAAAATATGATGATGTATTTACTTGTTCTTATATATTATAGTAGGAAATTATAGTTTTGTGGACTATTCAAAACGTCAATCATTGTTAAACCAGATGGAGTTTTCCGATTCTGCAGGCCTTCAAATTTACCGGGAGAACGACTGACACGTACTGCTCCATCCGTTTCAGGTTATAAGATGTTTTGACTTTAGATAAAGTTAAATTGCTTTAAGTTTGACCAAGTTTTTAGAAAAAAGTAGTAACATTTTTAACCCAAGATAAATTTATTATGAAAATATATTTAATTATTGATTTGATGAAACCAATTTAGTATTATAAATATTATTATATTTGTCTATAAACTTAGTCAAACTTGAAACATTTTAACTTTGACCAAAGTCAAAACGCCTTATAACCTAAAACGGACGAAGTACGTGCGATACAGAGAATTACGGACAGAGACGCACGCAACATTTTGCTCCACTAACTAAATTCAGAGAGATCGAGAGGCAGCTAGCTGGTGAATGTGTCAAGAAGACAGATGAGACAACGGAAGATTTCAGGAGAAATCTACAAATCTACTTACGTTGCACCGCATATAATTAAACATGTTGGACAAAGTTTTTCTAAAGTGTGTGGACATTCAAGGTGTGTTTTCACCCAGTAGAATTTGGGTCTCACATAATTTGTCAGCCTACCTCTGACTGACCTGGGCAAATGCTTCAATCATCATCAACCAGCTACTCCTATGTTCTATATATGCGCCGTGTTGAACAGTTCAGATTATTTACAACAATAAGCTTACGAGTTGATTTTTATCTGAAGACTCTTTCGCTGTTGATTTAAGCGTGGTTCTAAATTTAAATGTGATTTCAGTATAGTTGTATCATCTTGTGTTTGAATCAATAAAAAGCTTCCTAGCTTTATCGTGTTGAACATTTCAGATTATTCAGAAAGATAGGCTTAATTAAGGAGTAGTTGATTTTTATCTGGCCTATTCTTTCCCCGTAATAGAATGAAATATAAAAATATGCATGCTTAATAACAGTGCTCCTACAGGTTACTTTTTTTTTCTAAAAAAAAATCTTTCTACATATAAATTTCTTAAAACATTTTTTTAGGTTTATTTTTTAAACTTTTTTTGCGGGGTTATTTTTTTAACTTTGTAGTAATAGTTAATTGATTTATTTGTACCCTTGAATCATTCAGCTATTCAGCATTCCATTCAGCCCAAAAATAATACAAACTTATCCTAATTAATTATCGCCACATCCATATGTGGAGAGACAGTACCAACGAACGGCTAATTGCTCCTAATTTTGCAACAATGAGATTCACGATTTGAGAATGCAACAAAAAGGCACTAATTTTAGGCAGAAAGAAATGGAAACTTGCATGTTGTGTTTTTCAGCGACGGAATAATAATTTGTTCCGATTGAAAAGGACATTTCACAGACGGGAAAATAAAGAAGAGAATCCAGTGCATTTCATACTTCAGTTCTTGATAGATCGATCGATCATACGTGTGTCAAGGACAAATAAAAGGGGTTGAATTGGTTTGGCCAGTTTGCAGTTGGTGGCTATTGTTGATATATATATATATGATCCGTCGAGCCGCCAAGTCGCAGCCGTTTGATTTTGCACGTCAATTCAACGGCTGTGGATTACTATACTACCAGTAGTAAACCCATCTTTGTGAGTGCAACATCTCATCAAATCGACAGCTGCAAATGCTGTCTCAATCGTACATGTCTCCTAGCTATGGTGCTGTACAATCCTACAAGGTGAAAGTCCACCGTTTGTTCTGGAAGGGAAATCATTTATTTTTTTAAAAAAAATAATAGTAAGATTGACCCTAATGTAGTACTACCTCTGTCCCAAAATACAACAATTTTTGGCTATGAATTGCTTATATTTTAGGATGGAGGGAGTATATCACTCAACAAACATGTAATTTCAAAATTTTGATATATACGAGTAGAAACAAAAACAACAAATCTGCAAATAGTCTGCATCTTCGTTGACAGTCAACTTTGACATATTTTTCTACCTATAGAAGTTAAATTCGAATTTATGATATATCATGTATTATGTATTGATCTGTCTTTTTTTTTCAATTTTTTCTGTGATTTTTTATGCAGCATGCATAACAAAGGGAACGTTCTCTTGAGGTATAGAAATCCACCTCCACTATGTACAAGTGTACAACACGCATGCTACCTCTGTAGTATCATTAGCATTTTTGTACTTGTCAAGGTTTGTTGACCAGCCTAATCAAAAGCAATGTTCAACAACATTGTCTTAGCTAACCGTTAATGAAAAAAAGAATTGATTCTCATTATTAGGATGCTTCTAAGGCCAAACTCAAATAGGTCTTGTTCTTTCAGTTGCTGAATAGGAGTAGTACAACACTAGCTAGTACAAGTATACTATAGTAGGATTGTTGATGGGTTTAAAAAAAGCCAAACTCAAGTGGGTCTTGCTCTTTCAGTACTAGATTGTTGACAGGTCTAAAATGGGCAAATTAACCAAACATTGCAATTTTCAAAGTTGTCGAGCAAGCTATATTGGCAACTTGCAAATTATATCGCAAGGTCAGTCAAGCTGGAACCTTACACCCCGTTCTTTTCTGATTAAAATATGGATTTTACTTCAGTTTTTATTAGCACGTTTTTTAAACTATTAAATAATATATTTCGTGTGAAAACTTTATGTATAAAAGTTACTTCAAAATATAGGATAAATCATTTTACAAGTTTGCAACAATCAGTAAAACTCAATTAATTATTTGTTAATGGTTATTTTGTTTTCCGTGTCCTAACTCTGTCTTCACAAACGAACACGATGCCGATAGTACTGTAACTCTAGAAGGATGCGTACGGCACAGGGAGGACAAAGCTGATGAATTGACTTATAACAAACGTAACTAAAGAAAGCATGGTGATGACCGTTTCCAGTTGTGAGGCTGGGGACCAATAGGACCGAAACGATTACTCAGAGTTGTGTTGCTCGGGAAAAAAAAGTGAGGTCAACATATATTTGTAATTAATTATTGCAATATGAGTGAATTAACCAGGTTTTTTTTCCATTACCTAAACTTTCGGTTGAAATATGATTGGTACATCAAACTTAATAAGACATCAGAGTCATGTCAATATCTTGAGTTTTAATAAGGTTGTTGCAGTCGTTTTTTGATTCGTTGATTCATGG